GTTAAGTGTGGCCTCCACACATCCAAGCACCCATATGTTTTCTCTAGCTGGCTGGTTGCTTTGTGGAGTCTAGTCAGACAAAATGACTCTTCCCATCACATAAAGATAAAGATAATGCTCCACACGAATGTCGACATCCGTGAGATTTCTGCCCATTTTGGTCCTCTTTAATTAGGGACTGTTCTGCCTCATTGGACGGGCTGGTGTAATAGCTTGGGATCAGAGCAGCATAAAGATTGTCACAGCTTGAGAAATCTTTGGAGCAGTGGGAGGTAATGATCCTGCCTGAGGCAAAATACCGCTTCTGGCATGTTATGGGGCGCTGTGATTCTGTCCCACACTTCATTTAATCTTTTTTTCCAAGCGCTGCAGTTTAGCCCCTGAAAAATGCAGTAGTTTTATGAGTATATTCCATCTTCACTATGATCCTGTAATTCCTGTTGGACGTGAGCAGGGGTGGAAGGTGGCACTTAACACATGAAATGCCAGTTAGAGGCTCCAGCCCGTGCAATTTTTCGTGCTGAATGGTTTTCCAGAACGTGACAAAAAAATCTCTCTTTTATCTTCTTAGGATAAAATTCTTCATCCTGAGAATCTCTTCATCTGGAGGATGGAGAAATTCTTAGGATAAAGTTGGAATCCCCTTTTCTGCCCAGTCCACCTCACCAGCTTCTGCCCTTCCATGAACTGGTCTGTTCAGGCTGAGTTTAGCAGTCACAAAAAAGACTTTTTGCTTTAGACTTTTGCCACATATGGAATAAGCAATGTTTTCTTCTCCCTGTGTTGTCACAACTCATTTTACTTTCTAGTTGAAAAGTAAATGAAAGAAATAGCTGAAGGCACATTTGTGAATAATTATACTTGCACCACATTTCTTCAGAGTTTGATGGGTAGATTTGTGTGCAAGATTTTATTGTTTTCCTTCAGCTTCATTATCCATCCAGTGCTTGCAATGGATTATGAGGTGCTGTTGTAGATTACAGGGACAGAATTCTAATGTTTCATCTGGAAATGGAACACATAGATCTTTTTTCAGTTGCAACGATGTGAAATGATGGTAGACTTGGAAAACAGCTAATTAGTTTTTTTTTTTTCAGGCTCTCCTGCTGGGATGACTGTGGCATGTGGTGAAGTAGAACCTTCACCCTGCAGGTTGTCTCAGATTTTAGTCCTGCAGCACCAGGCTGGGGGGTTCCTTGTCATGGTGGGACTCATCAAGCAGTTGACGTTGTGCTCCGGGGGGTTTGTTCCACCACTGAACAGTTTTGCCTAAATGGACACATGGACAGGGTCAGTCCATGTTAAACACATGATTTTGGAAAACTCGTTGGATTACCAGACTTTTGTTATGGCCAAGCCATGACTGTTCTGTTCACCATCCCTGTTGGCAGTGACCAGAACCCAGCAGGGACACAGAATGACTCCCCTGGTTTGTCATGGCGTGTTCAGAAGAGTGGGAGTCTAAGAGAAGGAATTTGGACTAAGTATAAAGAAATCTTTCAGGGAAAACCTTGGAATAGCTGAGTGTGGTGGGAAAGGTTAGAGGGGTTTGTTTATTATGGTGCTAATGAAACCAGATCCCCTCAGAAAGTGGGAAGTGCAGATCAGTGCTTATCAACCCTGTTTTATTTCTAAATCCCACAAACCACAAGCAGATTGTGAGTTTGAGTCTACTGACAACACTCTTAGTCCTCACAGTATCCTCATGTAGGTCTGTGGTAGTCCAGGGATCCTCATAAATCCATGTGGAAGGAGTCTACACATAGTCCAGGAAGTGTAGATATCAACAGAAGTGTGTGTGGATGGGGAGGGAATCCAGATTTACCTTTATTGCCACGCAAAGGTAGCTTAGAAAAAGGTTGTTTGTTGTCAGATAGAATTTTTGGCCCCACCAGTAGGAATGAAAAAAGCACGTCCGGGGGTCAAGGGTGTGCCAGGGTTTACCTGTGCTCTGGGCTGCTGAGATTGAGAATTCCCTGTGTCTTTAGATCACTTCCAAGCTTGTGAAGGGAGAGCTGAGAGAGGGAGACAGTGACTAACCATAACCAGCCAGTAAGACACAGTGTAATTAGCAGGCTGTGATATATTTTAAATCACTGGGCTGCTTTTAGTAAAGCAACTCAAGGTAAAAACTGAGATCTTTTTCCTTTAGACAAAGCCCAAGTTGGCACATCCCTGAATTTTTCTCTCCAGACTGACAATCCATCTGTTAAAGTATCTGTGTTGTGACAGCCATCAATAGGAAATGTTTTGGGGAGAACTCCAAGAAAATCCACTCCCAAAATTTAGGAAATACTCCATCCAGCTGTTTTCAGTTTTAACGCAGGACTTAAAACTCTTTAAGGAAATTTATCTGTGTAATTACATACACACATTCATATATTTTCTCTATATACTCAAATGTGGATGTACTGTTTATACATGTATATATTATACATTTATACATGTGTAAGAAAAAGGGAAAGGTGGGCATGGGGAGAAAGAAAATACAGGTGTGTCATCATACATTATATACAGGTTATATACATGTCATTTTATAATGTAAATTAGGCATATATGTGTAATCATTGTTTATATATTTCTATACCATCTGCTAATGATGAATTTTTCATTACTCATATAAATGTCTTGGCCCTTTTGAACACTTCTAATTTCTTAATCACAAGTCTAAGTCACGGCTGAAAACTTCTCATCCTACCATTTCTCCGTAGGGATGGGAAAAAGAGAAATCCAGAAGGAGATCATAGGGAATTTTGGCTTTGATTTCAACAGAAGTGGGTCAAAAAAAAATAAAAAAGGAAGTCAGGTCTTAAGACGTCATAAATTATTATTGTTATCTCCAGGTACTGTGAATTATTGTAGTACAACTGATTTTAAGGCAGTGATGGTGATTCACAGCAAGCAAGAGATTTAACTGGCCTGAAAATTTTAGAGAAAAAAAAATATCCTGAATGCTGGATTTCCTTAAGTCTGTAAGATCTTAACATGAGATTGCTGAGTCACTATTGCAAGTTAACATAGTGCTGAGAGTTGGCTGTAATAGGGAATGAGTTGTACAAGCCAGATTTCATCAAGAGCTACGAAACCAATTGTGTCTGCTCATCCACCCGTCTGGTTTTCCCTATTGACATTTCCAAAGGACAGGAATTTATATAATGAAAGGCTAAAATCGATGCACAAACCCAGCTTTTATTTTCTACTGTTAAATTGCTTTTAACCCATAAATACCAAACCAAAATCAGTTCAGATTTCTCCTTGGCTGTATCACATCCGACCTTCACATCCCTTTCCCCATGAAAAAAACCCCAATAATTGTATTTCTGTGCTTAAGGTGTTTGTGTTGCTTGAATAGTTGCACAAATCATGCAGATTCTTGGATTAAATGGCTGTAGAAGTGTGATGTAATGTTTGTGGCATTGATTTTTCTTCCATAAAAATCTTTGTTTTGGTAACTTAGCTTTTTATTTTACTGTATAATTAAAGTTTTTGTGAGCTCTCAAGCTGTTCTCCTCATCCAGACTTTCCCTTTCTTCTTACATTTTCATCTTTCTTCTCAAATGTTCTAAGTAAAACAAAATATTAAGCCAGTATTTCTCTGATGGTAACATAGCTGCATTTGTTTGGTTGTTGCAGTTAAAATAAAATCAGTCTGGAATATTGCAGAACATTCCCTTTAAAAATTTGCTCAGCTTAGAGTGGTCATAGAAAATAGACACAAAAATTGAGTTCTGAGGAAGTACAAGAAGTAAAGTCACAAAATACTGCAAGACCTCATGCTAGAATCATGGAATGGTGTCCTTGGTTTTTAGTGTGAAGGAGAGAGACAATGGGAATAAGTTTTTTTTTCATTTTAATAGCACATTGAAAGTGTTTCCTTTCGTTTGCATTACCAATACCTGGGGATGAGCATCCTGGGGGTGCTAATGTCAAGAATAAAAAGCAAAGTGGTTCAAAATGGGTGATTTCCCCCAGTTGCTCCAAGAAGAGCTGTCTGCAGACTCCTGGAATGACGTTCGCTGCAGGATTGGGATACAACAGTTACATAAGTGAGTTTAACAAACAAGTTTATGGAGAAGAGAAACTCGGTGGTGTGACGAGGTTAGTGGAGCGAACATGTGTTCTCACTTCCTGAGTCCAGGCAGTTTAGGGTTATCTTCCCAATGAGGGCAGGAATTTTCCCAGGGCTGCACTTTTAACATGTAGGTGGGTGAGGCAAAAAATTCAGCAAAGTCAGCTGGGTTGTCCACGTGGAGGCCGAATGCAGCTGAAGGAAAAGCTGAGGACTGGGAATAAAGGAAGGCAAAGAGCCAAGGTTTGAGGATGAAAGGCAACAACAGAGCCTGGAGAGAAGTGAGGGAAGCAGCACAGTGGTGGAGAGATTGGACATAAATGATTCAAAGGGGAAGAGCGGTAAGTGTTGAAAGGGATGAGGCAGGAAACAAGTGAAAAGGTTGGAAATTAGCCTTAGGAAATATTATCTCTTCCTCTGATGTGGGAGGTGCGGTAGAAACACGGCCTTAATCCCTACATTAAAATATTTTAAGCTGCCTTTTTTTTAGAGTAAACATGGAATCAAAGGATCATTTAGGTTGGAAAAGACCTTTAAGTTCTACCTTCTCTCTTCCCCTCACTTTTAGCTCCCCAGGCAGAAGTGGGACTTGCTGGTGTGACTATTGGGAATGGTCCTGTGCAGGGCTAAGGGTTGGACTTGATGATCCTTGTGGGTCCCTTCCAACTCAGCAGATCCTGTGATTCTGTGCTCAGAGGTGATGCTGGGTGAGTGCTGAGCACCATTTGGATGCCACTCCTCAACGCCCAACCACCCACAGGCTGTCACGTTGGCAGGGGTGGGGGATTTGATCAGCTGTGTCTGACAAAACTGGTTCCATTTTTCAGCCTGAATGTGCTCCTCATCGTCGTGGCTGTGTCTGTGAAGGACAAAAGGGCATCATCACTCTTTGAAAAAACTGTTGACGTTTTCTTCTGTTTTCCCTGAGCAGATGGGCAAAAGAAGGTCCAAGAGGAATTTGACATAGACATGGATGCTCCAGAGACAGAGCGGGCGGCCGTGGCGATACAGTCCCAGTTCAGAAAATTCCAGAAGAAAAAAGCGGGGTCCCAGTCCTAGTAGCTACCTCACAGCGTGAAAACAAAGCAACCCCGAAATGATTTATCAAGAAAACCAGAAATAACACAAAGATGCATGTACAGAAAATGATCGATATTTAAAACCCCCGTCGGCAGATAACGACCCATGAGCTTGTGTGTGACTTCATCCCAGGTGTTTCACGCCCATTTTCCCCTCTGTAACTCACCATTTTACTCGATGTTGTAATAAAAAAAGTTAGGGTGAAGTAATTAAAGCGTCTGCCTTCATCTGTCTTTTCATATTAATCCAGCAAGTGCAGCGTTACAAATGAGCCCGGCCCAGATGCCTCTTTCCCTCCTCACGTAAAGCTCGGAGACGTGAGAGCGCCGTATGTTGCAGGGTTTGTGCTGAGGGATGAGAGCGCTGCTTACCTCATTTGGAGAACTCCAGCTGCCAGCCAAATGTGACAATAAAATTACTTTCTCCTAATGAGCTGGAAGCAAAAAGTTGCAGGCAGAAGCTGGCGCGAGGGGAGGGGGCGTAGGAAGCAGTGAGCACTTTATTGTTGTCTTGCAGTTATGTCAATAAAAGGGGTTTTAAGTGGGGAGATTGTCCCTGTCCTTCCTCTTTGCATGATGACATTCAGAGTTACCCAGCTTGGACCACGTTGACTGTTACGGAAAAAAATTAATAAACCGAACACAAAACACCTTTGGAAGTTTGGGGTTTGATTTTTTTTTTTAATAAAAATAGAAACTGACTCTCTAAACTCTGGTTTTGATGCAGCTTTTCAGTCTTGAGATAATCAGTAACTGTTTCTATGCCATCTCTCTCTTTTCATATTATTTTCAGTCCTTGAGGAGTAAATCATAACAAACTACCTGTCTCCATTTGCACTATTCTGTATCAACTATGAACCCCTTAATTTATCACTGTGTTAGCCCAGCTTGTGATTAACAAGAAGCAGCCACAACATGTCTTAAATTGGGAAATGCTTCTGTTTCCTCCCTGTTGTAAAACAGCAACAGACCAGTTTCAGATCAAGTAAGGATCTTGTTTGCCTTCAGACCTGATTAGGAATTGGCTGCCCATATGGAAGGTTTGGAAAAGATTTAATCAAGTACCTTGTACTCAGAAAAAGGAGCTGCTTAGATTAAAGTGGGACATGCACTACACAGAGATGGTTAAAAAAAAGATTAAAAATCTCATCCTCCATCAGCAGATTTAGGGGTTCCAGGAGGCATCTTCGTCCCTAGGGAAATGAGAAGCATTTTTTTGAAGGGCTGGTGTTTGCAGCGGTTCCAAGGAGGCAGAGTGAGCTTCACCTCCAGGCTGGCAGAGGCAGGAGTGCTGGGTGGTGACAGCCTGCCAGCCTCTCAGGGAACAGCCTGGAGCTGGGACTCCTTCAGGTGTCACTCCCAGCTTTGCCCAGAGGGATTCTTTTCATCCTCTCCCATCTCCTACCAGAGGGTTCTGATCACCAGGGCGAGGGACAAGTGCCTCATTAGTCCCTTCATTTAAACAGGGAGCTACAACCCAGGGGTAGGAATAGAGGGAAAGGAAGGATCTCATGGCAGTGGCATTGGCTTCCTATGGGAATGCTTGAGGGATGCAGAGGGAAGGCCCTCAGCCTTATGCAGGTTAAGGCACTTGTGGTGCTGGGCAAGAGTTTAGTGAGGAGCCCAGAGCTGGTGGTGGGTGCCAAGAGCTCTGGCCCTTTGCTGGCTATGAGGAGCCCCCAGGGATGCTGAGCAGAGGAAGCCTCATGGGTCCTGTGGATGATGCAGAAGGCACACGCAGAGATGACATGTGAGGTGCTTAATAAGCACAGCTTAATCCTGGGTGAGAATGGAAGGGGCTTTTTAGAATCTAGTTTGGGCTTAAATAGGTAAATGCTGCCTAGACCCTGCCTGTGGCACCTCTGTCTGTGCCAGGTCCTGGCCCCACACAACCTACCCACTCATCCCCTGCAAAATCAGAGTTCTCCAAGCTGCAGCTCAGTGTTTTCATTCTAGGAGCATATTTTTCTTAGCAGCACTGTTTCTCTGCCTCTAAGAACTCCCCAAATAAACCTCCAATAACGCTGCTGCTGTGCTCAAAGTGTGGTTTGTGGAGGCCCCAGTTACACCCTCTTGTCTTTCACAGCGACTGCTCACCATATAATAACTGCCTTAGCATAATAATTTAAAAATTGTAATGGGTTTGGATTGTGTTGGTGCCATTTTGTTTAGATGAACATATATTTGTGGTAAAAAAAACTGCATTTGTGTTCTGCATTATGTCATTTGAAACAGCATGAGCTCTGTAATGGCTACTTAATTGAATAAAAACTATGGGTAAGCACTAGGCTTTTATATTTGATCTGACACTCCTTGGACTTAAATTTCCTACACAACAGGAATAATCATATGGTTGGGACACAAAGAAAATGATTGCATTATTGAGGCACAGCAACAGGGGCTGTGAGTAAATGAATTATGGCTCGCTCAGCAGCAGGGCTGTCCTTCATTGTGAAGTTCAGAGTGCATCTTACAGATACAGCCTTAATACACAGAGAAACATAATGAGGAAATGGTGAACTGGCACATGAAATTTAGACTCGTTGTGGTTGCCCCTGTCAGACAATTTCCTTCTAATGTAAATGTGTTTGCACCACAGATTCAGTTCATAATTCCCAGGAGAGCTTTCTCGCTCCCGAGACTTGCTTTTCGTTGATCCTTTGTCCATATTAATTGCTGTTAATTTCCTTTCTTACCACTCACTCATACTTTTCAAAGACCTATCTGGGTTTTGCTGAGGTAAGAAAAGGAGTTTGATTCAACCAGGAGGGGTAAAGGAGGACACTTATACATTCCAGGGTCTTTCAACTACCAGACACTCACTGAGCTCTGCAATTCACTGCTACTGCCTGAGTAACCAAGTCATGGAAAGGAGGATTTAAATTAAGTGGATATCTGTGCTGATAAACCAAAAGTTCCTGTGGTAGCATAAAATATTATACAGAGCAGTAGATTTTGCAGGAAACAGGGTTATGGCTCCCACCACAGACACCCACAGCCTCCCCAGACACATCCATGTTGCTGCTGCTCCAAATTACTGTCAGATTATCCCAAAAGAGAATAACCTACAGCTGAGTGATCAGAACAATTGCCCGAGCCTTTCAAATCCTTAGTTCACATCGTTGCCTGGACTGTAAAATAACCTGGGGAAGTAAACACAGAGGAGACTATTAGAAGTAAAGAAAAGCCATCAAAAAGCACAGGAATGCCCACACGAGGAAAACAGCAAAGAATGGGAAGTCTATCAAGCTAAACACAGAAAAGCAAGCCACAGATAACCTGTGGGGGATGGGGGGAAGTGGAGGTCTTACAGAAAGTAGAAATGAGTCTTGGATCAATGCTCAGAGCAGAGGTTCCCACAAGAGGGGCCTTTTTTTGCAATGCATCAACCTGAGGAATTTGTTGGTGAGCTGAAGTGTCAGTCAAACAGAGTTTGGAGCAACCTGCCAAAATCAAAGAGTCATAGAATCAAGCCATAGAATGGTGTGTGTTGGAAGGGACCTTAAAAATCATCCAGTTCCAACCCCTGCCATGGGCAGGGACATCTTCCACTTGACCAGGTTGCTCCAAGCCTTGCCCAACTTGGCCTTGGACACTTCCAGGGATCCAGGGGCAGCCACAGCTTCTCTGGGCAACCTGTGCCAGGGCCTCACCACCTGCACAGCCAAGAATTTCTTCCTAATATCCAATCTTAGTAATAACAGATCAGCAGGACTGCATGAGGTTCACCCATGTCTGGTGAATGATGTCAGATCCACAGCAGCTGCCCTCGTTCAACCCGTTGCTCACAGTGGCCCTAATTCCATGGGAAATTAATAACATATTTTAGAAACATTATTTAGAAAGGACTCTAGCAGTATTTAGAGATTTACACAAAGCAGCTTCATTAGGAGGCTTGAGAGAAACTGTGATGTGATGTAACACAGCTGTAATACACCAAGGCCAGCCTGAGAGCAGCTGGGATTCACAAATCTGCTGGTGGTTGCTGCTGGAATAAACAGGTGGGTCATGGTAACCCAGGGACACCTGGATTTTCAGGAAGTTTCAACAGGACTCCCACGAATGCCCCTTGGAGAAGCTGAGAGCTGTGGGAACAGAGGGTCAGGTCCTGTTGCAGAAAAACAGGTGGTTAAGGGACAAGGATGTGGGATGGCGTGTCCAGTTCTCACAAGCACTTGGATGTCACCAGTGGGATTCCAACAGCTGAGCTGTGCAACGTCCTTAAAAATCACCTGAAGAGAGGGACGTTGGAAAGTGAGGTGACAATTTGCTTTCTACATGAAAAGCCCCGTTCTTTGCTCCTTACAGAAGGCTCCCTGAGACCCACGAGGAGAGGAAGGTCATCTCAGGGCCATGAGGGCACTGACAGCCCTGACTGCCCCTGCCCACAGCTGGGGTTTCTCTGCCCTGCCCATGGCCCACATTTCCTGAAGACCCACAGTCTGGCAGAAGCCTTGCAGCAGCAGAAGCTTCCTGAGGTGTCTCCTGACAGTCAGCAGTTTGCTGTGAGGCTGCAAGAGATGCTCTGTCTCCGGCAACATCTCAGTGCCATGATTTTACCACTCTGTTTTTGATCTGGCCTGAAATCTTTCTGAATGTGGTACCACAAGCCCCAGGTCACTGGACAGGCCTGGGCTGGTCTGTGGTTTACTTGCAATACTGAGGGACATGGCAAACCCCAGGTTTTCATTATGTTTTAGTCTAAATTAAATATTCTGGATTCCTCATCCAGTGGTGGGCACTGACCAGGCTCCCCAGGGCAGTGGGCACGGCCCCAAGGCTGCCAGAGCTCCAGGAGCATTTGGACAATGCTCTGAGGGACAGGGGGGGATTGCTGGGGTGTCCTGGACAGGGCCAAGGGTTGCACTTGTATGATCCTCGTGGGTCCCTCCCAACTCAGGATATTTTATGATTTTATGATTCTTTTTTCATACACATCTTCAAAGCTTGATGGGAAAAAGAGGAGAGTGTACTATCAATATGATTAAGTTAATATTTAGACATCTCTCTCCTGGAAGTATTTAAATGCAAATATCCTTCTCAATCTGAAATGAGCAGAATTCACTTGTGTTGGTTTATGTGATCAAGACAATCTTCACAGTGAAAAGATTGAGGAACACACCCTAAAAAGAGAAGCCATGCCATTCCTAATCCAGTAAAGCCTAGTCACGAATGGGTTATTTAGCTCAACTCTTAAATTGTGGCAGTGGTTTTTTTTCCCCTGTTCTTTTAATCCCTAAACTCTCCCTGACAGATGGTCTCCTGCCTTTTAGTATCTCTAGTGATGGTGAGGCTAAAACCTTCCTTGGCAGCTTGTTCCATGGCTGAACTTTTCTTAAAGCTATAAAGGTTGGTTTGTACTTAAAACCTAAATCCTCCCTCGTGCCATTTAGATTAATTTGTTCCAGTCCAGCTATACCCAGTTTCCCTAATCTTATCTTGTAGGTCTCCTTTTCAACCCTTTTCATTATTTTTTGTTATTCTCCTTTGAACTCTGCCAATTTATCTGTGTGCCTGAGATGAAATGCAGCCATCCAAATGAAATGGAACCAGTGCCAAGCACAGCAGAATAATTATCTCCACTATTTTACGAGTGATGATCCCCTTACCACAAATTTACATGGCTTTTGGCATTTTGTGACAGCATTATTTTGTTGGC